AGGATCGCTTGAGCCCAGGAGTTTGAGGTTGCTATGAGCTAGGATGACGCCACGGCACTCTAGCCCAGGCAACACAGTGAGACTCTGTCTCAAAAAAAAAAAAATACTAATGAACACTTGAAGAAAAAATGAAAAGGTGAGTATCTTTCCCTGAGTTAATATATTACTAAGATAATAAAGACTAACTCCTCTGAAGAGGAAAAGAGTTATATAAACCTAATAATATTTTTTATCCTCACCACACCTACTACAATTAAATGCCAATTCAAATTTATAATCTCAAAGCCAATTCTTCACCCCACCCTGAACAAGTGAATAAAAATGTTCCTTTGTCAAAGTCACCAAAGTGTCAACTAATGCAATTTTTAAAAAAGGCATACAGAAGATAATGGAAGAAAAATAAATTAAAAAAAAAATCTACATGAATCTAGTTCTGATCTGAAACAATAAATGGAAAAACAATTCTTTCATAGTGTTTCTTTTGGGTTGAGTAAAAATGGGCATTACTTTCAAGAAATTAATACTTTATATACAATCTCAGCAACACCCAGTCCAAAGAATTTTGTCAATCAACTATTTTAGGCAGAATTATTCCTAAATTTGAAATAATATTCCTAAATGCTTATTTAATAAAAAATATCTATAGGACATTTATAAGACACAGGGCTAGTGGTTGCAGAGGAATACAAAGGCCTAGATATGATTTCAAGTCTCTCAGGGAGCTTCCACATAAACATAAAGCTGAAACAGACACACAGAAAGAAGCTTTGGAAGAGTCAAAGTAAAGCTTCATTCCAAATGGGGGACTGATAAGGACTTCAAAGAGGAGATGGCAGGTACTGGACCAAAAGGATGAATTTTAATACTACTCAGGGATGAGTGATTCTCAGAAGAGTTGTTAAGGGTACAGAATTACCTAAGGAGTTTTTTCAAACTTCTAATTTCCACACATTCTTCCCCTCCCTGATAATCTCTTCATAAGGCCAGGCCTCTTGGTTGAGAATCACTACAGTGAGAGTCACTAGTACTGCTGAGGAGGTGCTGTGTTATATTCCTTAGGTATGTTGGCAGAAAAAATGTTGATATCATGCTATAAAGCCCTAGAACTCTATTCAGTACTCTGTTTTACTATACAACAAAGTATGATTTCTTGATGAGCTTCTTGCCTGCATGTTTAAGAACAAGAAGTGGATAAATATGATGTGGTAGAGCTCTTCCAGTAAAGACTTTTAAGTCTCATCTGTAAAAAAAATTACATGATGTTTTGAATCCCCTTTTTGTAATTTTTTATACAATCAGAGCAACAGTATGCCCTCCGAGTCTCAGTTTCCTTATATTCAAAATAGGAATGACTTACTCAATGCACTGTGTTACTAGAAACTAAATGAGGTAGTATTTGTAAAAAGGCCTGGCACATAGTAGGTTCTCATAACACTAAAGTTCTAAAATAAGGAGACCTCAAGTCTGATAAAAATTGCAACACAAAGATCGAGCCCTTGAAGAAAAAGTTAGATCATGAACTTCTTCTCTTTTCAAATATTTATCTTAATATTAAACCTAAACTGTTATATAATAATACTGGCATACCTGTTCTACACCTTCTACCTCTGGAATATAAAACTGCAGCATGTTCTGAATTCCATTTTTCAGAGTAATGATTGAACTGGGGCAGCTGGTACAAGAACCTTGGAGTTTTAGCTGTACAATGCCATCTTCAAAGCCTTTATAGATTACATCTCCTCCATCTTCCTGCACAGTCGGCCTATGGTCACAGAATATTTATGATATATTTTTTAAAACAGAAGTTTTCATTGAAAAACTTTAATGCAGCTCAGAGCTTAAATTTTATATTGAAAAAATTCACAAAGTTAGAGCTACTTTTCTAATCAAGAACAATTACTGTGGCTAAGGCTTACTTGTAATTTTAATTTTTTTAACTTTCAATAAAATGTCAAAATTCATTCATACAAATATTTACTTTACTTATTACATTTTCTTTTACTTATTAACAATTTTTTTTAAGCATTTAAGATTTCAAATTTCCTAATAATTATTGTGATTTCACCTAAGATATACTCATTCACTTCTTTTGAGCAAAGGAAGAGGAAGATTGACACCTGCTGGCTTCTTTTTATTCAGGTAAACTTTTCATTGAAATATAACATTAATATAGAAAAATGCATAAAATCATGTATGTACAATTCAATTTTTACAAAGTGAACACACATTCGTGACTACCACCCAGATCAAGAAATAGAACACCAGCATCCAAGAAGTCCCCTCTGTGCTTCCTTCTAATCACTCCCCCAAACCAAACATAACCACTACCCCTATTTCTGTCACCACTGATTAGCTTTGTTTTTGAACTTTGTGATTTATAAATATAAATTCTACTTAGAAATCACATAGAATTTCTCTTTTGTATCTGGCTTCTTTTGCTCGTCATGAAATTCATCTGTGTCGTTGAGTGTAGTACTAGTTCATTCAATCTCATTGCTGCACAGTATTCCATTAAGTAAATATGTCAAAATTTATTTATCCATTTTACTGTAGATGGACATTGGGTTAATAACAGTTTTTGGCTTTTCCAAATAATGCAGCTATAGAGATTCTTATAAATTTCTTTGGTATACATATATATTACTACTGGGAATGAAACTGCTGGATCAAAAATATGAATATGTTCAGATTCAATAGATACTACCAAATTGTTTTCCAAAGTTATATAAACTTATATTTCCACCAGCAGTGTATGAGAGTTCCTATTGCTCCACATCCTCACCAACAATTGGTGTTGTCAACATTAATGGTTTTAACCATTCTAGTGGATTTGTACTAATATTTCATTGTGATTTAAATATTCATAATAACTAATGAGGTTAACCACTTTTTTCATATGTTTAGTAGCTATTTGGTTATTGTCTTTTGTGGAGTGCCTGTTCCAGTCTCTATATGATTGTCTTTTTCTTACCAATTTGTAAGAGTTTTTTATATATATTGTCATATGTGTACTGTAAATATTCTGTGCTTTGCTTTTTTACTGTAAATGCGTCTTTGGATGAAGAGATGTCTTGAAAGAGAAAGTCATAATTTTACTGTAGTCCAATTTATACGTATTTGCCCTGATTTTTCTGTTTTCTTATGTCCTATGGAAAAAAAAATACTTGCCTACCCTGAGGTCATACAGATATTCTATTTCAAATTTCCTTTGTGATTTGTTGATCCATAGGTCTGTTTAAAGAGCATTGCTTAGTTTCCAAATATATATTTTGTAGTTATCTTTTAGTAAGTAATGTCTAGCTTAATCCCATTGTAGTCAGAGAACGATATTCACAATGATTTCAATCCCTGAAACTTGTTAAGGATCGCTTGATGATCTAACATACAGTCTCTTTTAGTACCTGTTCCATGTTTACTTGAAAAGAATACAATTTTATTCTTGCTGAGTACAGCACTCTATTTATGTCAACTTAGTCAAATTTGTTAATCATGTGTTCAAAACTCTCACAGCTGCCGGGCGCGGTGGCTCATGCCTGTAATCCTAGCACTCTGGGAGGCCGAGGC